CTAGGTGGAGGTCATTCTGAACAATTTATTCGTTGACTTTGTTTCCTCTGATTTTTGTTGTTGATTTCCTCATTAAAATGAACGACAGCAAATTTTCTGTTATTTCTCAAATGAAATGTTCAACATTTAACTTCACAATAACGAATGAACCAGTTTAGGAAAAAAATACAGAGGTAACTTCAAACCTAGATGTCGCCCACATCGTGGTCCTTCTGAAAAGTATTTTTAAACGTTTTTTATTATTACTGTACTTGTAAATTGAATTAATTCATGTATCTTACACTTCCATCTTTGTATTGAATTTCGTGTTGTATTAGACGTCACCCTCATTTTATTTTCCTGTTCGATACAGGCAACTTCAACAGTCTAAAAATAAACAACCTATAGACGAGCTATTCAGGTCGTGCCATCTGTATTCAACGAATGCACATTTAGAATCCTGAATTATTTCTACATGGTGCATTCAGGAACGGTGTATTTATTATTTCGTCGGAAAATATTTGTGTTTGAAACCTTGAAGGAAACGTTAAATCGATTCGTTGAGAAAGGAACTCAAACAAATAATTTCGAATGGATCACGATCGTAAGTCTGAAACAAATTTGAGAGTTAAATGCGTCCAATGCGAGTTAATATTGTTATTACTGTTGAAGTTTTCGGCAAGGAGGTTTATATATTATTGAATATATTTTTTAATTTGTTTTGAATTGACCGAACTCGCAATGCTGGTTATGGATTGAAAAATAGAAAAAGAACTGGGAAGATAGTAATAGTAATTTATTTTGTTATCAGTAATACTATCGAGACTAGTCTGGGAAAGAACACAAGAAGCTATCAGACCAGAATAGATCAACTCTATCATGGATGCCAGTATACTCTCCGAGACAGGCTTGAACANGTTCACAGATGGATCAAAAACATCTTTCGGTTCTGGTGCAGGTGTTTTCAGTGGCAGACCCAGGACAGATATATCAACCTGCCTAGGATCGTATGCGATCGTATTTCAAACGAATAATCACGCTATTGAATTGTATGCGGGGAGATTAGAAAAATCCAACCTCATATACAAGTCAATAAAAATATTCTCGGACAGTCAAGCGGCCATACTGGCCTGGAAGGCAATGAGGCTGCTGATTCCCTTGCAGAGGAGGGTGCTGCAAGCAGCTTCATCGGACCAGAACCTGTCATCGACATCGCTTTAGGCTTTGCCAAACAAAGATTGAACATCTGGATGGCAAGAAGATTCATGGAATTCTCGCAGAATCTTCCAGGATTGGCTCACTCCAAAGCGTTTATTCACCCTTCGAAGCTTGATATCAAACAATTGTTGGACTATGGTAGTGATGTACTACGACGTCTAACAGGCCTTACATGTCACTGTCATTTGAATCATCATATGCAGAGACTCGGAGTGTCGGAACACAGTGTGTGTCGCCTCTGTTTGGAAAATGATGAAACAGCAGGTCACATATTTTGTGCCTGCCCCGCTGGGGACCCAATCAGATTTTTAGAGTTCGGCAGAGCCTTACTCTTACCATTTGAAAGACCACTCAGCATACAAACTAATCGGCTTCGTTAAGAAGTTGGATTTATTTGGTCGAGTGTGAATAGGTGTGAGCCACAATAAACCTTTGCGGGTTGCGGTTGAGGGTCGAATAGATCCACTCACTTTGGACCTAACCCGATTCGATTAGCGATTATTTTACTTTTCATGAACATATGTTCATAGTTTCACAGAAATTGAGCGCTCAAAAACACAGTGGCATACGGTGATTCTACTATGAGGCAGAAAAATGTTTACAAGTGGTACAAGCTTCCCACAGGAGTACGAGAAGATGAAAATGTTCAGAAAGTGAAGGAAATTGTTATGGAAAGTCGGCTAATCATCTCATTTTCGAAACAGACGTCATATTAAGCACTCTAAAATACCAACACTATTTATCTTCATAGACTCATCAAAGGGCGTCGATAATGCTCTATATTTTCTATTGAAAAAATCTTTAACATAGTTGGAAGTAGAATACATGATTTAATTCAAAGTTATTTGAGTTATAGACAACAGCAAGATTAATTAAATAGTAGTATCAGCTGGAAAATAATATAAGATTTGGTGCTCCTCAAAGAATGGTTCTGGGGTCTCTTTGCATATGTTGGATAGCATGTTGGATTTTAAAATGAAAGGTTGCCATATCAGTTTCACTGACGATATTGCTATATTTTCACCACGACGCGCGTTTCATCTAACAAGTTTGCGTCTTCAGGCCAACTTGATTGATGAAACGTTTATAGAGAAGTGTTTTGCATTTCTGGTGATTTAGAAAAGTGTTTGTTTTGAAAAAACCCTCTTTGTTCATCATTCATATCAACAGTCATTATATTCAAATACATATTATATTTATTTAAAACGATATGATACATGATTCATGTTCATAATTGTTTGTTTACATAAACTTGTCTGCTCTTTTATTTGTAAAAATAATGTTATTACAATTACTATATATTTCAGCATCTATTTTTCTTTTCTTATAATTTCTGTTTATTTTCAGGTGAGCAACTTGTTTTCCCAATCCAATTGCAAAAAGAAGAATGGTAAGTGGAGTTTGACTTGTTCAAAGGCGTCTTATTATTCTCAAACGTTCAGACCTTTGTAATTGGAGTTTCTTAATTTGCACCTTTATTAAGGCGAGCGCTTTTCTCAAATTAGCTTGTTAAAATTGGAAATTCGCTCGGAAATAATGTGTTATTTGCCATTTATATTTTCCGGCGACAGGGTAGATTGATTACTCGAGAGGCACGAAGAATATTATGCTGGAAAAACTTATCACTCAATTAATTTTTTGTTTATGTATTATTTCCAGTTCGTCATATAATCCAAGAAAGATTGGTTATTAAGTTGTTTGCTTCTGGTTTGAGATTTCTCAAGTGAAAATGTAATAAAAATCTGTAGATTTTTTCGAACATCCTTCTATACTTTGAAATTTTGAAAAATATTGCTTACAATAATGACTCATATTTGTGTTTGTTTAATAATGTTTAATAATCAACGTGAATTAGCGAACTAAACAAGGAAACTACCAAGTAATTTGATTGGAGATTTATTCATTAGGTGCTGACTTCCAATCATACCATTTGACATAGCCCAAATAAGTATTCAAATATAAAAAAGAGGTAACGTTTTTATCCTAAGAATCCTTCATACAGGGGATTCAGAGACATATAACACCTTCCCCTTCAAATTAGAAGTCATAAAAAAATAAATATTCTTAGAAAATTAATAACTAACTTATAACTAGACGGTCAGGACACTTTCACTGTCCTTACCACTATTATTTACACTATAATTTTTTTCTATCTTTACAATATTTACATCTAAATGTGAGCGAGGTATTATATTGATTACGTCACCATCGATCGCCCCTGATTCATTTTCTCTTGAGTAGATCGAGATGTCGTTTCCAAATAAGTCCCTGGAGTAATATTTTCAAAAGTTCAACTGTCGATCGCCTCCAATGTTCAAAGTATTTCTCAAAAAAGCACCCGTCAATTTTTTTTTCACCACTTAAAAAACCACTTGCCAGCTGCAGAGAAAAAATGAGGCCGAATCTTGTTCGGCGGACGACGTCGAAGTTTGACTTTGCAACTGACCGCCTTAGGGAGCCTCGTTCATCTTTGATATTCGTGGATTGAATCTTCTGTCGATTTCATAGATGGCATTTTTGTGAGGGGAGATGTCATCGTATTTTTTTTCTTAGGCTTGTCCTTCAAGAATATAGTCATGCCCTGCAACGGATTCCTGGTTCAGCCTAGTGTCACTGATGAGACACATGATGGGTCGAAACAGTGTTGTTCAGTATCATGAAGAATTTGTTATTGGGCTCTGGTTTCAATGGTTATAATTATTTTATTATTATTGTACTATTTATTGTACTAATAATGTATATAATGACATATTATGAACACATTTTTGAAACATCAAAAAATTTATAAAAATTGTTAAAGGAGGGCTTTTTTTCATTTGCATGAAGCCAAATTTTTTTTTTCAAAGAAGATTCCTTTTGGCTGGGATTCAATCAAATAAGTGAATGGCTGTCATTACGATGTCATCGATTACATTAGTAGATCAAACTTATTCCGTGACATAAAAATCATAATTTATGAATGGAATTGTGTGTTTTTTCTTATAATGTTTTCTAAATTAGTACTGAAGAGCCCTAAGGCAAGTGTCTTACGGCGGAACATCGATGTCTATCAGTGAGGATGACACTATTCCATGTAAGGAACATTTTTGCCTTTCATTCAATATATTATGTATGAATCCTGTGAATGATATCTGATTCAATTCCATAACAAATGTTTGGAATACAAACTGAGTAGAGAAAAGTTTTTTTTGAATGATTTAGTGTTCATATAAAGTATTTGTTTAGAAAGAATGTTTCTTTCATGTAATTCAATGTTTACATTGTTTTGTATCAAGATGGAGTTGTAGAAAGCCAAAAACTTTCTTTCCCAAAAATTAGTCACTCCTAAAAATATAACCCTTTCAATATAAAAGAAAAGTTTATCAACTCATCAAATGGACATGTAAAGAACTAATTATCAATTATCAATGATTATCAATTCAATTGAATTTGGTGTTTCAGTGAATTTTTAGAGTCTTAAATCTATTAATTCCCAAGCATCCCAAAAGATTAAATTTCGATTTTTCTCTTCCGGAAGTAATACGTCATAGTCGTTCGTGGTTGAACTTATGCATCTCTGCCAGAAGATGATTTGCAAATGTGGAATTGGTCTTTCCATTCAAGAATCTACCTTGATGTTCTTTCTTTGGAAAAAAGTTGTCCCCGTTTGCCCAATGCAAATGTTTGAGCAAGAACCACAAGTCAACGTATATACTCCTGATACATAATATCTACCTGTCAAGGAATTATGTATGACAATGTATGTATTAGATGGTTTTTGTAGATTCAGTTGCTGTAATATTCATATGTCAAAATACATGATTGATTGCTGGATTGGAGTTTCCCTAACGACTCAGTCATTATTTTATTCTGACGTTTCATATTTGTGTCTTCACAATTATTTTTCATCCAAACGTAAGTAAATTCACAAATAATCTTCCGATGAATTTCATTCGAAAATGTTTTCTTGTAGGACAGCATGCTTCCGAAGCTGAATCTTTCTAAAAATAAACCTCCTAGTTATGCCTCTCCAGTAAACGCCGAATCAAGACCAATGAAGTTTCCTTATACTTTCTCCGCAAAGATTGCGCAATTTCCATATAGGTTTCACTTCGAAAATAACTGGCTGTTTAGGTACTACGTTTTTGGAGTCATTGCTTCTCTTCCATTTTTTATATATTGCGGAAAGGTAGGTGAGTAGAAATTCAAACTCAGTCTGATCCAGTCAGATGAACTTGACATAACCATTATTACCGGCTAGGTTGAGGTTGATAACTGAACGTGTCCTTCATCCTCACGTTTTCTTTTTTTGCTCATTATCTCACTATATAATATATATAAGCTATGCATACAGAGCATCAATGTTTACTTTGATGCTTTGTGTTATCTAATAACTGGGGAACCCATGCGCATACTTCAATGCGTGCCTCTGTGTACCTATTCATATCTAACATCTTGTTGAAGAAATGTTATGATCTTGTGACCATAATGGATTTTATACAGAATGAGCAAAACCAAATCTACGTCTATTACTGGTCTATGTAGATGCTGATTTCAAAAAATTTCAATTGACCACCAAAATTGTTGACTGTCTGTTGTTGATTCCTGGGCTTCTCTACTGTTCAACAATCTCCTTGAAATTTGCTTTAATCTGTCTCTGAATCAGACCTTCCAATATAAGTCGAAGACTTTGGGTTTTATGGTGCTTAACCTTTGAAACGAGATGAAAACTTTTTGAATTTACTTATCGAGAGAATCATTACATCATCAACGATAACATCATACCATGAAGAAAGGTCTTTATTTTCTACTGATTCATCTTCATACAAAAATGTTGGGAATCTTACAAAGGATCGACTAAAGCAATCAATTTCAAAATTAACTCTTTACGAAGATATGTAGATCATGCATAGACATTACTTTCTGATTCAAAGTGAAAGAAAAATCCTTCTCGAAACAACTATTTTCATATAAACATTGAGCTACAAAGAAAGTACTTTGGAAATAACTATTTCTATGTAAACATTGATTTGTTATCTCTTATCTCTTCTAAAAATATACCCATTTCAATTTATCCTACCAGGGTACTTTGAATACTTCTTCACAAGCTTTGATTGAATCATCTTTTATAATAGACGAATTAAATATAGGCATAATTTTTGAGATCTTCCAGTTACCACCTTGTGTTTAATCAACATTGGATTATACCGTTTACGAGTATATAACAAGTATTTCCAAAATTATTCAACCCTTAAATACTACATTACTATGCCAAACATCATGGATTGAATGTTGTCGGAACTATTTCTGCTGTCAACTCTGTAATAGTTTCTTCATCTACGATTCTTCTGTAGAACAACTCATATTGGATCCTCATCCAATCTTTCTGATGCAAAACAGGGAAATTCGAAAAATTATTACTGTCAAATATGACCAAATGGTCGTGGTAAAAAGAGGAAGAGTTACCTGCACGACATCTCAACATCATTTCAAGGAAGATTGACAACACACAGATGATTTTTCCAGCAATGGATTCACCAAAAGAATGACCTGGAAGATATCAATGTTCAGGATAATTATTTATCTGTGAAAGGTGGCACGGTGATTAGATAGTCACGTTGGTGCCATACATATACAGAAAAATATTGAACAGGAGATGATGAATCATCTGGAAGAGAGGATATTTCGTCAGCTTTCATCAGACGAATCATGGTTGGTCGAAAGACAAACTGGGTTAACTAGGACCGTCAGAAATATTACAGAAGGTCATATTCTAAGAACTTTCCGAAATAATAGGAAAATGTTTTATTCGGTTTTAAAAGCTCTCTAAATTATCTAAAAGGGTAGACCAATTTTTGAAAGTTAAGCAGCAATGGAGAGGAATTAAAAAAACTTTCTCAATGGGAAATGGCTCGCCTCCACTTGCGAACAAATTGGTCCGTCTTACAAATTTGAAATATATAGTTAGATTTTTATTCAGGTCGATAGCAGTATTACAAAGTTAATATTTTTGCGATAAGTTCTATTCTTAACAGTTTTGTCTTGTGATACGTATTTGTTTTTTTTTTGATGACCTATTCTGTATTATAATTCAGGAAGTTGACAATGCATATTTAATAGAGAGACAGACCAAGAATCTGACATTTATGAAAGACGACATAACCATCACTCTAGTTCTCTTTCGATTTGAGGTTAAAGTGATTTCTTGATGAATAGTTTTTGACTCTAAAAATGCAAGTTATCGATTAATAATGTATTGTTTTTTTTTACACGCTTTATATTAGCTTCACCTGTATGTATGTTTGTATGTCTGTTTGTTTGTAACTCTCAAGCTTGATCTATTCGCGGGCAGATAACGATATGAGTAACCTCCTTGATATTTGAATTTCACTAGTTCGGACTTCCATTGTCTACTATATAAAATGATTTGAAATCCCTGAAACAACTAAAAAAGAATAATTAAAAATGAATATCTGAAAATAACAATTATAGCAAAATAAACCTGAAAGGAAATAATAGTGAAATAAACTACAAGTAAAAATAGAACAATTGAATAAATAAAAAGAAAATAAAAATAAAGGAATGTCATCACCCGAAGACGATTGTAGATACTAACAATCAAAACGTCGTGAACTAACGTGACTTGGAATCTCTACACTTTTCATTTTTATTTTCTTTTTTCATTCCTTTATTTTTATTTTGTTTGTATTTATTCAATTGTTCTATTTTTACTTGTAATTTATTTCACTATTATTTCATTTCAGGTTTATTTTGCTTAATATAATTGTTATTTTCAGCTATTCATTTTCAATTCTTCTTTTTTAGTTGTTTCAGGGATTTCAAATCATTTTATATAGTAGACAATGGAAGTCCGAACTAGTGAAATGCATCATGAAACATTGTCAATCTCCTCATTGATATTTCTTGATCTATTCGCGGGCAGATGGCGCTGTACGTAATCTCCTTGATAGGTTGTTCAAAAGAAAATAAAAATAAAAAATGGATTTTAAGAATCATAACTTTTAGCGAAATTTTGTACTACAGAGGAAATATTTAGATATTTAAATATTTCCAATTACCCGTGATTTAGTACAGATAAGAGTTTTGAACGAAACGAAAGATACCTTTTAAAATCTAATTCGATTATTTGAAAGCAAACCAGAATATGTATTTCAACAATGAAAACGTTATCGTAAAATGTACACCCGAATAAATATAGTTCAAAAAACTAAAAAACACGCTTTTATAGCATATGAAACTAAAAAGTAAAAAAAAATATAGTTTAAAAAAAACGCTTTTAAAGAACATCGAACTAAAAAGTTAAAAATGTTTTTCTGAATAAGCTTAGAACAATAACGATCGAAAAATACTAGTATTATTGTGAAAAAAGCGTGAGCGCTAGATATACAAAAAATATGGCACAAAGCTTATTTAAAAAAAATATTTCTAACGTTTCAGTTCGAAGTTCTTTAGAAGCGTGTTTTTTAGTTTTTTTAAACTATGTTTATTTTTAAGTAATGAAGATAATGATTGTTACGGATATATCTGTGCAATAAATCCAACCTGTATAAAGGTTTCAGAACAACAATCCTCTGTAGATATTAGTAGACTACAAAAATAATGACTTCGAGTTCTCTTCATGATCTAATGACTAATTAACTAATTAAAGAGCGATTGTTTTGATTGAAATGTATTCCGCTAATCCTCGAAGGTCCCTCATTATTTACGTCTTTGTTGCACTAAAAATATCTCGCAAGGTCAGACATAAGCTATTTTTCATTTTGAAAGTGAATTCTTTTTTTTTCAAACCAATCAATGAGTGTCACTCTTTTGAATGTGTTAATATGTGGGCCGAATGTATGAATCAACACATCACGATCGGTAAACATGTTTTTGGCGGACGACTTATGATTTATTATTGGTGCTTTCAGCAAATTCTCCTGCAAATAAGGCGAAGTGGGCAGAAATTCGTCGTCAAGAAGAGGAAGAGTATAAACACAAGTTCGATTGAAAATGGATTGGTATATAGTTCGTTTACCAATATCGAAAGTAGCAATAAACCGTAATAATTCAAAATTGTTCCAGTAAGATATAGGTAGTAAATGTGTCCATGCTAAGAAAAATGAGAATAAAAAAAAGAACTTTGTAGTTATCATTTATGAGAGTAATATATTAATTTCAGTTCACAAAATTTTTGTTCATCAGTTCATCAAAATGGTTTTATCTGACCAGTTCCCATTGGCATAATAATAAGATAGAATGAGGTCGATTTTCATTACACATACTTATTTGTTTAAACTAAAAATAAATACGAAAATGAAAAAAAACTTTTTTGCAAGTATGTAAATGAACAAAAATGAATTGGAAATTCGAACTAACAACATAATCTTCATTGTTCGACCTGCTATCCAAACAAAATAGTCTTTTTTATTAACAATCACGACAAATTAAAGCTGCTTTATCTTGTTTTGTGAGCCCATTGTCATCTTCAAACAAACGGCACATCATTTTTGTTGTCAAGGCATGCTTTACAATACCACGATTCATTTATTGTCTTCAATATCATTTGTTTCACATCTTGCTCTTTCCCTCAGTATATCCTGCTTTTTTTCAATTACCAATTTTTTTCGTAGTGTCTTAGTACGTCTTTTCTAACTTTTCATGTCCTCCTTAGCTTTTCTATTCATATCTGAATACTCGTATACCTCATGTATAGTCTCTCTGATCTTGTTTATTTTCTAGTCTTAACTGTCCTTATTTTTGCTTTTTTTACTTTTTTGTATCTGATTTATCACAGCCTCGTCGGTACCTGTTTTTCGCCTGTGTTTAAAAAAAAATACCTCTAATTTGGTATCACTGAATATATAGACATGACCATATCAAAATGAGAAACCATTTTCCAGTGGTAACATTTAGATTACAATTTCCTTTTCTTAGATATTCGATTTTCGGATACTCCTACTTGGGGTGAAATTTTTCAAACATTTTCTTGATTTTCCCTCAGTTCATTTACATCTTCTGGAATATTTTTCCGGCATATGTTTTCTGTTGAGTTGCTAGGAGCAAACTCTGTATCTGGAGTAGCATTAAAGTTGAAAAGGTATATATTCTTGGTCAAAAACATGATTCGATGTTCAATGCAATAGTGATTGACTTAAGAAGTCCCAAAAATACTGTTTTTGGGGGTGTTACTTCCACTATTTTTTCGGCAACCGTGTAGCAACCGTAACTTCCCAGACGGTTCCTTTCCCCCCAAGTGAGAATGGCTTGATGCTTTCTGTAATGTATTATTGAATAGGATACGCCACTGTTTTTGGTTTGATATATTTTATATTTTGTTTTTATGCGTTTACAAAAAGATCGAGGAGTTGTTTTTTTTTGACAAACTGGTCTGAAAGGTCATTATAATATTATTCCAAGTGTGTATCTGTATGAGTAATATTCCTTGATGAATAAACCTTATTCGGGAAATGAATAGTTTTCTTTTTCCTCGAACGTACATACCACTTTCCAAAATAATCGGTTACAATATGCTTGTTGAACTTTTGTGCCGTTGCTTGAGCTCACTTTGGTGATATTTCGGAACGTATCTTCGAGAAAACGTTCAACTAATAATAACCAGTCAAGCATTTTCCCTGTCAGAAATTATGAAGAATATTGTTCTGTTCTGAGTGAATAATCAATCAACTTGAGCTGCCCTGATGATTCAATACACCAGTTTTATTTCTTGTTCTTAGGTCAACGCGATTCTCCTCTCAAACTCTTGTTCTTCATCTATAAATTCATTTTCACAACGACTTAGAGTCCCAATGACCTTTCCTGCACTAGCACTATCTCTCACGTGCGTTCCGTCAACACAGATCGTATCTTCAGGAGGTGCCTGAAACTAAATTTTACAACTGAGTTAGAGTCTTTTAGATACATCTGAATGAACTATCATCTTTGGTAATGAGAGTGTATTAGTGCTTGTTAGTTCCTTGTATTATGTTAGTTTCTCGTATTATATTCATTCATATTCATAATTGATGTCAACGGGCTCTTTAGAATGTGAGTTTCGTCAAGTACTAGTCGCAATAATTCCAAGCATTTCCCATTTATTTTGTGGTCGTTCTCAAAGGTATGTTGAGCGAGATTAAATTTTTCTGGTCTAAAATGCTGTATATGTGAAAGGTTTTCCTCGAAACACGTTGTTATAATCAGCTGAGTTTGACCAACGTACTTTCAGTTGGAATCCCCACAGCGTATTTTTCAAATCCGAGTTTTTCGTTCGTTGAAATTCTCGAGCAGTTTTGAAAGCCATTTTCATGTTTGATTTCCCAAGACTTTGGACCAATTCATTAGTGTATATTGACTCATATGGAGAAATTATGAAATTTGAGTAGTAGTCTTTCTGAAAATTCAAGGATTTATTTTCAGCAACATGACAGAGCCGATATACGTCAAATGTTGCTGTGGAAATAATGTTTTTGATAGATCCATTTTACGACAGGGATTCCATCCTATCTATCAATGACTTGCTATATTAAATTGGCTATAAGATTGACTTGAAAGCATTAATAATATAAAATTTCATTTACAAGAGAAACGTTCATTATTCAAGTCGATTTCTAGAAATTTCGTGTAAAAACACTTGTTTTCACCTTCTCATTGCCTCCTTCTTGAAAAATGTTTTTGGTAACTCATTCAATCCTTTTAAAAAGTTCAGGATTTTACCTCACTGGAAGCAACAAATCTGCTTTGTTTCCCTGGAGATTGAGAGTTTTTTCAGCTTTTTCAATTTTATAACGCATGTTTGGAGCACAAACTAAACGGGAAAAGGAAAGAAAAAAATAATTCACAAACACTAATTTCTCCTGAAAAATATACTTTTCAATGACTGACCTAAACTCCTATCAAACATTTTTTGTTTGATCGAAATGTAGATTATACAAAATTTCAGAACTCCATGATTTCAAATTGAAAAGGGATATACTTTTTATTGGGAAAGCAAAGGATTTGGCTTTCATTTTGAATAAAAAGCTTTGCGTTTGAATATTTGTCTTGAAGTATTATGTGCTTGACAGCTAGTAAATATAATTATTTCCAATGTTTTTTTCCAGCTCGAAGTTCTGATCACAAGCTGTGAAATTTTTAAAATAAATATGTTCCAATGTTGTTTTCCATCATTATTGAATAAATACCGTTTCAAATTCGATACAGTTATACTCAAGTTGATTACTTTTAAATGACTATAATGACACCGTAGTAGATAAAAATATCTTCGTTCGACAGAGACTGATAACTATTCAGTTGGAGGTATTATGATTAATAGTCCCACAACTCTCTTCACGTCAGTGTATTTTTGTATTCAAACTTTCCCAACTTTAGTTCGACAGAGAACGAATGTGTTCGATGAATTATTCATTGCAAAACTGAGTTCATTGAACAAGAAAATTGAATTTCGTTGTGAGGCCGACGATCAAAAAATAAAATCAAAAAGAAATGAAAACACCCTTACATAATACCGGCTAAGTCGTCAAAATTGATATTGCCTCTTAGTGTGGTGGTTATTTTAGAATATTTCCAGAGATTTTCCATTACGATGAAATGTTGCAATTGGTTTAGTTTTGTTCTCCGTAAGAGGGTTGAACTGGGTCGTAAGGGGCGGAGGTGGCTGGTTCTCCACATGTGATCACAAAACAAACAACAAAATATAAATTTATTAAAAACGCAACTTATTGATCTCCTGCGTTTTATTTATAGCTAGCTTCGTTTTCGAGTACACGTACATAAAAGATTTTTCATTATTATCAAAAAAAACATCACGCTGTTTGTCTCAAACTGGGTACTCACTTCTGTACGCCTTTCATTGTGCGAGAGTAATTAACTTTGACTTGATTTTTTCTGGTACCTTGGGAGCTGTCTGACTTGTCCATTTAGTCGAAGTCACCACAAGACTCTGCAGCCTCTTAGGCTTATTGCGTTTATTCTCCCATCTTCTCATGACACCCATTCCATCAGTCTCGTTCCCTGTACTAGTTTGTACAGATTCCGTGTTGGATGTTCGTCATATTCTTCTGGACGTAATTTCGTACGCCCATATATTGCCTGCCTCCTGTGATTCAGTGCCTCACATTCGCATAAGATGTGTAGAGCTGTTTCTATCCCTACGTTGCATAATCTGCAGCTGAGGTCTTCGTTGTACAGCCCCATTTTATTCAGGTGCCCTCTAAACGGACAATGACCGGTTAGTTACCCTGTAATTATTCTGAGCCGATCCCTACTATATTGAAGTAGTTCTTCGGTTGTTTTCTCTGACGGTTCCCTAATGAAGGTTCTACTGTGTTTGTTGCCAGGTACACAGTACTCTGTGTTCTTCTTATTGGTATATGTCCTAATGTGGTTTCTTATCAATGATTTTGGTACCCCCAGAGCTGGTTCAGGACCTATATATGAAGTTGATGATCCGCGTCTAGCGCATTCATCAGCTTCATCATTATCTGTGATTCCTGAATGCCCTGGCACCCAGTAAAAAGTTAATTTGTTCTTGTTTGCAAGTTCATTCAGTTCTTCATGGCATTCCTGAAAATATACCCCTTTCAATTATGTTGATAGTATACTATCAATACTGTACTGATATTTTCAAACCTTTCGTTTTTTTTTGCATTTATCCACTGACATTCTTCTGATTCAAAAACATCTTACAGTCGTGAAACACGGCAATTCCATGACACTGGTATCGTAAACCACCAAGATTCTTTATCAAAAATTTTCTCGGGACGACCATGCAGTAGTATAAATTTGGCGAGACGATACAATCTCATACAAAGTACTTTTTCTTTTTGTTATGTGGCTTGTTTTTAAATTGTGACCGACAGATCTCGGAGATGCATAATATTTTCAATGGCACACCCACGATCAAACGGACGAGCGAGAGTAAGAGGGAACCAATCTTCATTCCTGTCCAGCTTTTATTCATCCATAAAATTAAATGAATATAAACTTGATACAATGGTAAATGGTACGGGGTATGAACAAAGTGATGGATGTTTACGGTCGTAGCTGTCTGGCCTTTTCAACATAATAAAACATCCAGTCGGGAATGGATTGTGTGATGAGGCATTTCCGTATTGGGTACCGATATGTCTTTCCAAAAAAAAATACTAAAATCGTTGGGCGT